CGACAGAGCCATAATCACAGATAAAACAATTTACCACAACAGACCAGACATCACACTCATTGACAAACACAATAAAATCACATACATTATAGACATAGCCATTCCAAACACTCACAATGTACAAAACACATGCACTGAAAAAATTAGCAAGTACACAGAACTCGCCCAGGAAATAAGGCATCTGTGGAGGATGGATAGGGTGCTTATTGTACCTGTTGTTCTCTCCTGTACAGGTGTGATACCACACACACTACACAAAAGCCTGGGAATATTACAATTGAATAGAAATACATACATCACACTACAGAAGGCCACTATATTGAATACATGTCATATTGTTAGGAAATTCCTGAATACTGACACTGACACACTTATTTAATTTGTTTTGGTTGCTATGACTTGACTCTGGTCCGGCATAGTACACAGCCACCGGTTTAAACCGAGTATTACACACTAAACACAATTATTAATTATCAATATTATTAAAGTTTTTAATAATAATAATAATAATTATTATTATTATTATTATTATTATTAAAAACTTTTCGTTCGTTAGAGGGCGTTGAGCTCTAATTCTCATCTTCCGTGCAGTCTCAGTACCTCATTCCTTTACGGTCTGTTTCACCAGATGTATTACTTTTAAAACTTTATTTATTAATATTAATAATTATAGTTAATATTTTTATATTCCAATATAATTCTCCGATTTATTTTCGAATTAATTAAAATATTAATTAATAATTTATTAAAATCTACCTTTCATTCCAATTACCACCACCAGGAGTCCGTTTCAGTTTATCTCTTAATTAAAAAAAAATACAAAAATCTCAACAGTAAACCGTTAACATTTCTAAGCGTGGAAGGAACTTTTATATTTTTAAAATAATAATTAAATAATAATAATAAATAATTACAAAATTTCGATCCGAACGTAAAAAAATATAAATTGAAAAACGTGTATTTACTCCGTCAGAGGGCGTCCAATCGCGGATAGTTCTCATCTTCCGCGCAGTCTCGGTGTCCCTTCTCCTTCTGCGGCCCGTTCCTCCAGATCGATTGTTTATATACAAAAATATATCGAGGCGAATAAAAGAAATAAAGATGGATCCCGAAGCATTTCTAGAGTTAGCCAATCAAGTAACGAAATTAAAAATGTATCCTTATTTCGACGTGGCTCATTGTATCATCACCTGTCTCTATCTGAGAGATGATCTGGCGGGAGGTGAGTGTTTGTCTGTTTGTCTGTCTGCCCGCTTCTCTACCTCTTCCATAAACTACACCTTATCCTCGCTTCCTTTCTTCTTTTTTTTTTTAAATTCTGATGCATAACTCGTCCACAAATCTCGTCTTTCCTTTCTAGAATTTGGCATAAGTGCAAGAGAATCTGCCAATTTTTTGACTTTCCTTAAATTAACTTTAACGTTTGACTGTAAAAAAGTTGTTTCCTCTCTTCTATGGTTACTTTGCTTTTAAATTCCGGTTTAAGTCATTTTTCTATATATAATTCTGTGTGTAAATTAACTAGAAGTAACCTCTATTGATTCATAACCGTATTGTCTATTTTTAGGTTGATTTAGTAGTGTTTCTCTTACAACGGTACGCTTCGGCTGGCTTGTGGTTCTCGAGCCGTGCCGCACTTCGGCTCGGAAATACGTATGGGGAAATTATCCCGTTAGACGCGTGCGGGACGCCAGACTCTGCCTGCCAAAAATTCTACGTAACGACCTGCCAAAATGTTTTTGACGTTCGGGGTACCTGCAATTCTCGAAATGCCCGTTTGTTTTGCGTGTCTTTGTTCTTGCGTTGGAAGTAATTACTAATTCTTGCATATGGTTTTAGCTCGTTACAAAGAAAAGCGTCCTTTTCGTCGATTTATTAATAAACTGGCTAATTTTAAGACGCGTAAGAGCTACTAATCTGCGCTAACCAGCCGTTTGACTAGACAATAGTCGAACAATAGGTCCATTCAAAAATAGAACGCTCGTAAACTTGTAACCTGTTAGTTTTATTTAATGTCCTATTAAAATCTCATTACTATCTGTCTAATTGCAAGGATCTTTTGCCCGTTTCCTGTGTTAAATTTTAAATTTCGCTTAATACGCAGAAATTTACTTACTTACGAGATGATTTATGCATTGACGGTCGAGGGACTGATAAAATGGCATATACCCACGCTACCCCACGCGCGTATTAATAAGTGTACGACTCATGCGGCGTGCAACTGAGCCGTTTCTTAGACAACGAATTCGCACGCGCTAATCCAAATTTTTTAACTCGCTTTTCACGGATTTGCAAGATATTTGGGACTCTGCGGGAGGGCATGTGTCGAAAGCTAGTGGAATTGTCAGTCACGCTAGAGGACGGCGGGGCACGAGATAACGGCGAAGTGGGAGTCAACTATAGAGAATTTCGTTAGTGCCTCGAACAAATCTTTGCTTCAGAAAAGGCTTTGTTATTTGTAAAATGTATTCTTGGCATGTTAACAATTGAAAGTTAAAAAATTCAGTTTTAAAACTTACACTTCATCAATAATAAATCATTTATTATTGATCAAACTATATTTAGCATGTGCATGTGTACATTTTAATTTTTAATGTTAATTTGAAGGTTATTAAATATATAATAAAGTGTTGTTTGCATAGATTAAACGGCAAATGGCCCAAAAATTTGCAGGAAACTTGGTTAAGAAATCAATTTGCATAATTGACTCAAATTCCATTAATTACTAATGTTACTAAGTTTAAAAATGGAAAGTTTCCTGTTCTGTTCTCTCCAACAATGAGAAAAATATTTATATATAGACTAATTTAATGGTGGTAACCGTGCCAGCTTTCCAGACATTATAGTTTTTACAAAGGGATTAAGAATGCTGGAAGGTCGCGAGTCGTGTAATCGTCCTTAAATAAAAGAAAAAATTTTCATTTAAATAAAATATCTTACTTTTCCCCTCCCCCAGGTTCACATGTATTTTCTAGAAAGCATCCCCTTGCCTGTTGGTTTTCCACCATGCTGTCAATCTTTGCGGGATCTCTGCTGGCCAATTTTCTGTTGGGAGAGCCCGTTCTGGCCCCATTCAAGACCAACAACCAGCTGTTGCTGGCGACGGCGGTGTGGTCGGTGTTTACGCTTTTTTATTTTTGGCGGTCCGCGTCGGCTCTTACTCACGGGTTTTTGCTTCTTGAAGGTATTTCATGTTCTATTCTCCGTTCGACGTGGCCTACAAAGTCTGCAAGTTCTTGCCGGTGAAATTGGTGTTTGCCGCCCTGAAAGAAGTCCAGAGGTGTAAGAAAGTTCACGACGGGGTCATGCACGCTGCCAAAATTTATCCTAATGGTTACCTTATTATGATAATTATTGGAGCGATCAAGGGTGAGTACGTTAAATTTTTTTATAGACCGAACAAACGATGCTTTCTGCTTCTGCAATTTACAATGCGCACTTCTTACGCTTGCTGATTATACATTGAAAAGGTAATGGCTCGGCTTTCCTGAAAATTTTTGAAAGACTCATGCGTGGGATATGGACACCGACTGCCATAGAATTCATGCAAACCAGTTTGTAAGTATGCCATCCCGTCATCTGCTTCACAAAATCAGACATTGTCTTAAAAGTTATTTCTTGCAGCTCTACCAAAGCCTGCATTGCAGCTTCCGTCATCTTTGTCCTGGAAAAGAAGACAGACTTCATATCGGCTCCTCACGCTCTCGTGTATTTTGGAATCGTCATCTTCTTTGTCTACTTTAAGCTGTCGTCCATGCTGCTGGGCATTCACGATCCCTTCCTCCCGTTCGAAAATCTGTTCTGTGCACTTTTCATGGGTGGAATTTGGGATGCCCTCAGTCGGGCCATCTCTTCTGCCAAAGGAGAGAGCAGCCCCGCCAAAATGGATGCCTCTAAAGATGGAAGAATGGATGCAGGAAGGAAGAAAGACTGAAGTAGTCTTACATTAATTTGGACCTAACTGTAAGTAATATTCTCGCATGCAGTTGTAAATGATGCACGTAATCTATATCTTACCTTTCTTTTCCAGCTGTAAGAATGCAAAGGATGGGAAGCACCGTGTCAAGAAGCAGCAAAAAAAAAAAAAAAACAAAATTAAAGTTTTCACCTCGTTTAAATACTGACCACAATGTGCATATTTTAAGTGCTTCGACAAAATAGTACTAACATATGTAAAACATTTTAGTTATTTTGTAGCCAAACGGTTGCAAATTGACTGTTTTGCAACACTTCCAACTTCTTTTAGGCAACCAAGATTATTTGTTTAGACATTTGAGATTTTAGATGTGCATAAACAGCTTTGCTCATGTGTAGAAATTATCATATATTTTATGCTAGATAACTCACCAAAAACCTTAGCAAGCGTACTCGTGATTAATTGTGCGTGCATTGTCATTTCTTACTAATCGACAAGATGTGTTATGTACGTTCCGTCGAGCAAGTTCTGGACTGTTAAAACTACTAATAGTGTAAAATCTAGTCAGATAGCATTGAGTACTTAAGAAATTTTGTTTTCACAAGTTCTCGTCGTCCGTATATTTAATTGTCTTGTAAGTTTGTCTTGCTTATTTAAGGTTTTATTTATCGTCAATCTCTACATGTTCAACGTTCGATTTTTTAAAAATATTTGTAGATCCGCACACTAATGGTAATTCACATTGTAAATATCAAATCGGCTCTTCCTCGTAAGTAAATTTGTAACTTCCAAAAATCTTTGTACGAGAGCGCGTCAACGAAAGATCGTAATTTTCATTTCAATAAATTTTTGTCGTTACACGAGTCTGGTGCAATTTGTTTAAAAGTAATAACACAAGTTTCTGGTGTATAAAACATAACAGTTTAATATAAACATGAGTTATTACATTGATACTTTCCAAGTATAGTATAGTTGATTACTTTCGATCGATTTCTAGGAAAATTCACATATAAACTGATGATTAAAACTAACAAAAAAGAATTTTAGATCAATTAAACAAGAGACACAATTGTAACTATGGTTATCTGTTTTTGTACTGATTATGTAACCTGATTTTTTTTGTTTTTTTTCCATTATTCTATAAGGAATGTCCGACAGTACGTAATATAGAGAGATCTTGTATGACGATCGTTACTCCCTCGTATCATTTATGCACCTACTAAGAATTACACAAAGGACAACACAACCGATTTATGCTTCGAAATAAGACTTGTATAATTTTAGCAACATCCATTATTATTAATTTTTTTTTTGTTGTTTTTGTTTTTTTTTCTTATGTACGTAACATTGCACGAGAAAAAAAATATATATGCCGATTAGCAGTTTAAATATGGTAACGGGAAACAAAAGGACTCTTCGAGCGGTCTCCCTCCGGATGGAAATCTGACACGCATCTCTCAAAGACTTTATCAAAATTGGAGGCGGTGTTGGTCGCGGTTATAACACTGCCACCGCCGCCTCGCAACGGCTGGTCGGCATGGGAAGCCCTTCGGTCCAGGTGTTCGTCTCCGGATCGTATATCTCTATTGTGTCCAGAGTAATGGGAGCAGCATTGTCCTCACAAAGCGTTCTCCCCCCGATCACTATCAATTTTCCATTCAGTGTGGCAACACAGGCTCCCGCCCTCGACGTCTTCATCGGCGGGATCTCCGTCCACATGTTCTGTTAGAAAAGTTAGTAATTAGCTAGAAATAGTAATACCATAATACATTTACATAAATATGACACTTTTAAAATAAATTAGTTTTAACTGTCAAGAAAATACTGTACGATGGAATAAAATGCAAGGATATTTTACAATACCTTGTACCTGACCAACACTTTTAAGGTTATGTCTGCTACAACAAAGAATACATTTATTTGAATTTTAGCTGAAACTCTACATTTTTGCACAGATATGAAAGAAAACAAGGACAAGAAAAATCTTTTGTATGATGCAAACATTCACCTAGCATCATAGTTTCTTCCTAATCCACCAGTATACATACAGGTGTTCCTCACCTTAGTTTTCCATGCATCATTCTATAATTGACATCACTAAACACTCCTACATGAAACTGTACTTTCAGAAATGAAGGAGAATTAGTGTAGAGTCATTATATACAATTTAAAAACTGACTGTTAACTATTTTACAATGCAAACAACAGGGTTTCACTTTCAAACCTATGTCATTACATATTAAACATATTATTAAATAAAATGTTTTAATATCAATAAATGCTTAAAACGCCTTTGAAAAAATTAGTGTTGACGGACTTCATAGTCGATAACAGTACATTAAATATATGTACCTAGTGCTGTGCCGAACCAAGGTCAAAGCAAACAACTTTTTCTGCAGCATGTGCAGTTATTGTATGTATCTGTGTTTAAGAATTTCCTGACTACAACATGTACTTAGAGCATCCTTCCACAGAATGACAAATGCGCTATTGTGAAGCCCTAGTATTTCTAGACTTGCGTAGTGTATGCAGCTTGATTCCCGTGCAAGAAAAAACTTAATCTGTTTCTCCACAGATGCTTTATTTTGTGGGTGTATTCCAAGTATTTACAGTCGACCCCCCCCTATAATTATGGTCCCTATAATTACGATTCCTATAAAACTACGAAAAAATTGCTACCGGTATCCGTAAAAAATAGTAAAAGTTCCCTATAAACACCNTTCTTTCATCTGTAACAACTGGGAAGAAGGACAATTGAAAAATATTATTATAAAAAGTGTAGTATAATAGAATTTTATATAAAGAAATTGCATGATTTTTATATAATAGGTTACTTAATGCAACTGTATAGACGAGTTTGTGACCTGAAATCTAATATTTAACACAGAATACATATGTTAATAAGAAATAAAAGGGTTTTTCTTACTCTTTCCACCCTGTGGGCACTAAGAGGCCCTCTTAGTCTGCGCCTGCTATAAGAGGCTTTCTTCCTCTGGGCCTTCCTTGACCTGTCCGGATTCGATCCGGACAGGTCAAGGAATGCCCAGAGCGGTAGCTGTCACCTTGACCGCTCGGCCATCTGGCCATCTAAATAAATGGGGTAGCACGCATAGTTATTTTAGGAAAATATCAGTAATGTGCATTGGTGCAGGATGTATTCAAAGATAAGTGTAAATAATACGGGACCCATTTTTTGGTCAATTATATTAATTAATTATTAAACGATCTCTTGAAAATCAATACATTATCAGAATCAAAAATAACAGCATTTGCTGACAATATAATGGTCGTCTGTTCACCAAAAAGCAAAAAAACAAATAGAAATAAAATGTAAAAATATACTGGATAAAATAGAGAAATGGGAAAATGCAAACGAACTTAAATTTAATCCAGAGAAGACAAACGCCATAGCCTTTATAACATGCAAAGTGGCAAGCACGCAACCCACAATTATAATGAAAAATAAATCGATTAAATATGTAAAGCAAATCAACTATCTAGGAGTAACAATAGATAACAAACTTTTCTGGAATGAACACCTAGAAACAATTAAAAAAAAAAGTGAGTAACCTATTTTAAGAAATAGCGAAAGTAGCACGTAAAGAATGCAGTATAGGTGAAAGGGCTTTAACACATATTTATAAAGGTGCTGTAATCCCAATTGTCACATATGCTGCCCAAATTCGGGGGAAGAGGGTGGAGTTGACACATATGAAACAGAAAATAAATAGCCTACAAAAAAAAAAAAATGCTATTAAGAATTACTGGAGCGTACTGTACTACATCACACGATGCACTCTGTGTACTGGCGGGCCTAATGCCTCTGGATTTGAAATACGACAGCATAGTGACACAAGAAATATATTAAAAGGAAACAAAACTTATAATAATTTATTGAAAAAAGAGGACGAGCTAGAAGCAGATATGAAGCAACACCAAAAATTACAGTCGGCCCCCATATAACGCAGTAATACGTTCCGGTTTTTATGAATCCATTCTCTACGAGTCCAGCCAGTCACGTATGCAGTTTAGGGACTACGGCTGTTTGAAAGGTTTCTTCCATAAAATTAATCGATTCTAAACTAATTCCACTCAACATTTCCAAAATACGTATAATTTTTTGGGAATAATCCGTATGAACTGTGCTATAAACAAAAAATTGTAGGATTACTTACCGAGTGTGCACCGTTCGACGACGCCATTGCTTAAGCTTGTTTTCTTCGCGGAGCTTGTCATCGAATGGCGCTAGCGTGCTTCCTGATAAATTATTCTTTTGCGAAAAATTCGCTGAACTTTGGAGACACCATTAATATAAATATAATTTTTATGGCCGTTAAATAATAAATAGATTTTAGTAGGTCGTTTAAACTCAACGGTTTGTACAATATTCACTATTGGTCTAGATTCGACCAATCCTGTCGCGACACGAGTCGGCGATGACGTTTTACCGAATTATACGAGTTTTTTTTAGCATGTTTGTACAAATACTGTCGCAATTTTTTCGCCGTACTCCGAACTATAGGAACCCGTGTTATAGGGGGGGTCGCCTGTATTAAGATATGAATGGGATAAAATAAATATAAAGAAATACAATTATCGGGATAAATACAGAATCTATACAGACGGATCGAGATCCTTAGAAGGAGTGGGAGCGTTGTATGTTTATTACTATAGAAATAGGGAGCAGTATCATTAAAAAAAATCAACTATTTTAGTAAAAAAATCAAACGACCGTGACTATGTAATCATAACTACCTGCAAAGCGTATGCGAAGCAGGGTTAATTAAAAGAGAAGTACTTCATGCCAGTAGCATTTAATGCTACAGGTGACAGAGAGAGTGTCCACTAAATGTAAACAAATGTAATGTATGTAAAATAATGTAAATAATACGAAATATCTTACGATGCCAGAACGTTACGGATATTCGCCATTATCCAGAAGAGGTAGAAGTTGATCGTTGGAGACATCTCACATACTGAGTCCATACGTAGCCGTGTATTGAAGTTTATAATCGAAGTGCGGTTTGTGTCACGCACATACGCTACCGATATAAAGCAACCGCATCAATTAATTCGCCACGTGTCTGCTCCGTTATAATGTAAAATTTTTGTTTTATCGATCCATAAACAGTTAAATGTTTACGGGGAGAAAAAAAAACTTGATTCACTTAAAAGATTGCAATTTTAGTTTCATCGATCGGACAAGGTAATTCCATTTAAACGATTGCAGATTTATATTATTTACTTTTTTTTAATTAATTTAAAAAATTACATTGTTTTGATTCAATTATATTCTTCCTACTGATGTCTCCTTATAAACAAATTGATGGGCTTTTAGTTGTTCAAACACAGTGTAACTATTTTTAGTGTGACAATACTAACACAATGAATATAGTCTGCAAAATTTTGACTATTAGTAAAATGAAGCTAACGCACCTTTGACGATTTTGATCTACGTAACTTCGTGCTTACGAATGACAGACATGTCATTCGTAAGCACGAAGTCACAGCCGACAGTGGGAGTGTATAGGTGTAATTAATTGGTGCGTAATTAATAAATGCATAATTCATTTAGCAGAAGAAGCGTGTATTTAACTCAACAATGATCGCCATAGAAATGCTGAAGACCACAAATTATTTCAATAAACAATTGTGTTAAAGTTGCGCCAATAGAAACCAGAAATTAGAATAAAATTTTCTATATTTTTTATTATATAAAAATTTATAAATAGAACATTTTCAATCAACATTTATCCAACAATTAAAAAATAACAACAATAATAATACTAATTATTATTATTATTATTATTAACTAGCTGTT